TGAAGGCAAGAGGAGAAGGGGACGATAGAGGATGAGATGGTTGGACAGAGTCACTGAAGCGACCAATATGAATTTGGTCAAACTCTGGGAGGCAGTGGAAGACAGGAGGGCCTGGCATGCTCTGGTCCATGGGGTCAGAGTCAGACAAACGACTAAACAACATCAACAAATGAATTTTAGCAGTTTCCACAATCAACAGGCCTTTTGTAATGCTAATGCCTCTTAATTGCTTGTCTAAGACCAACCTACCCTCAAGCACTTTGCATAAGAACAAGGAAAGCTTGTGTCTGAGAAAATCAGTTTTCTTCTCCAGCTACCATGAAGGATGATGCTGAGCTCAGACATACTGGGAGTCAACAACATCAACAAATGAATTTTAGCAGTTTCCACAATCAACAGGCCTTTTGTAATGCTAATGCCTCTTAATTGCTTGTCTAAGACCAACCTACCCTCAAGCACTTTGCATAAGAACAAGGAAAGCTTGTGTCTGAGAAAATCAGTTTTCTTCTCCAGCTACCATGAAGGATGATGCTGAGCTCAGACATACTGGGGGGGGACGGACCACAAATGATGTCATACTTCCTTGCTCATTAGATGAGCCTGAATCCCCAACTCTGCTAGTTCCAAATCCACTACACCACTGGTTATAACCTCAGGAACGTATAAACCTCCATTTTTCAGAAAGGAGTTACAGTATTTCCTCTCCAGTAATGTATCTTTAGAATGAAAGTATATTGTAACCACATACTTTAAAGCTACAAATAAATGTAAATAAATAGTTACTAATGGGTACCATTCATTTTTGAGGTAGTCATTCCTCTTTCCACCACCCTCAAGTTATGGTTTCCTCTCAGACTGAATGACAATTTTTTTAAACAACAGAAGATAATTTGTTATAGCTTCCCTTTGGTTCCACGACACATTTCAAATACTGTATGTCAGTTGCATTACAGGTACAATATGCTATAAAGGACAATCTCATGAAAAAAGTTTTTTTAAAGGGAAGCTTCTGTCCATTTTATCTATCCAACAGCAATAAAAAAGGGCTTCTGCTACAGAAATGGGAACAGCAATTTTTCTGTTTCTGTATTTCTTGCCCTTGTGTCACACACTTGTTCCTCCTTTGAGATCCATATGCGTAAAAGATCAATGTTTAATGCGTTCCAATTGAAATCCCTGCCCCGTTCAATGATGCTTCAGCATAGCGAAGGTTAATCCGGAACGGATTAACCTCGCTATGCGAGGCACCACTGTACTTTCATTCTAAAGATACATTACTGGAGAGGAAATACTGTAACTCCTTTCTGAAAAAAGGGAGACTTATACGTTCCTGGGGTTCTAACCACTGGTGTAGTGGATTTGGAACTAGCAGAGTTGGGGATTCAGGCTCATCTAATGAGCAAGGAAGTATGACATCATTTGTGGTCCGTCCCCCCCCAGTATGTCTGAGCTCAGCATCATCCTTCATGGTAGCTGGAGAAGAAAACTGATTTTCTCAGACACAAGCTTTCCTTGTTCTTATGCAAAGTGCTTGAGGGTAGGTTGGTCTTAGACAAGCAATTAAGAGGCATTAGCATTACAAAAGGCCTGTTGATTGTGGAAACTGCTAAAATTCATTTGTTGATGTTGTTTAGTCGTTTGTCTGACTCTGACCCCATGGACCAGAGCATGCCAGGCCCTCAAAAACGTTGTGCGATCGCATTAGCGATCCGAAAAAACGGATCGCTATGCGATTTAATCGTTATACGGTGCGCTCGTTAAGCGAGGCACCACTGTATATTGTAACCACATACTTTAAAGCTACAAATAAATGTAAATAAATAGTCACTAATGGGTACCACTCAACAACATTCATTTTTGAGGTAGTCATTCCTCTTTCCACCACCCTCAAGTTATGGTTTCCTCTCAGACTGAATGACAATTTTTTTAAACAACAGAAGATAATTTGTTATAGCTTCCCTTTGGTTCCACGACACATTTCAAATACTGTATGTCAGTTGCATTACAGGTACAATATGCTATAAAGGACAATCTCATGAAAAAAGTTTTTTTAAAGGGAAGCTTCTGTCCATTTTATCTATCCAACAGCAATAAAAAAGGGCTTCTGCTACAGAAATGGGAACAGCAATTTTTCTGTTTCTGTATTTCTTGCCCTTGTGTCACACACTTGTTCCTCCTTTGAGATCCATATGCGTAAAAGATCATTTCAAAGTTTGATTCTTATTTAGAAAAAGGCTCTTACTAATGTACAGCTGCCTACGATTTCCAGGGTGGTTCCAATTCTTCACAGATGCGAATGAGCACAAATATAAAGTTCTTGCATAAGAACAACACATCAAAGAGGAAGGAAAGGGCCAAAACTCTGCAACAGAGCTGGAAGGGAACGCATAATGTGGTGTGCTTAGGTTTGGAAATTAACAGCACCGTCTTAACTCAAATATTCAGCAGCTCTAGAGGGTGAAGCATGTTGGCAGACATCCCTTTATGCCAGCCACAGAAATATCATTATGCTGACAGAACCCCCTTCTGTGAGACCTCCAGCAGAGGCATCTCCCAGCACGACAGCTCTGTCATAATCTTCAGCAGAAGATATAAAACAGCCATGGAGACAGGATGGAGCAAAGCAGAGCATGAGCAACATTAGCTCCGTCCTCTAGTCATGTAGGCAATCGCTATGCAGACCCAAAGTTAGGCCCTAGTAAGGATCATCCAACATCCTTATACTGCTGGGAAGAGTGAGGACTCAATCAATTTTCACGTAGCCTAATATCGGCTCAGCTGGTCATCTTGCCATTTTGACACTCTCACCAGCCCTAGGCAGTAATTCTGGGAACTGAAGTCCAAGAACATCTGCAAGGCCTCCCGAGTTGGATTGGGACTAGGGAGAAACGTAGCTGAAATCATAGGCTAGCGACTCCAACTCGACTAGACCTACATCACAGAGTTGTTGTGAGAATAAGGTGAGGAGGAAGAAAGCCCCATATGTTGACTTTAGCTCACCGGAGGAGAGCTAAAGGAGGATGTAAACTAACTAGTCATTTAAATGGGGGAAATCACATCATGCAGAAATATCAGCCAGAAAAGTGAAACAAAACAGAAGAAAAATGCTAAAGACAAAGATAAAGGCACCTTAAAGACTATCATGCAAGAAGTTGACTTAGCACTAGACTGTTGTTCCTATGTAGGTGTAAGAACAGTGAAGTGCATTGAAATGGGGGACCAAAGACATTTGGCCCTTGATGTAGAAAATGCAAACAGAAAATAGATGAGAACATTATTTCTGTGCAGCTGTCATCTACTATACTGGGGCTCCCACAGGGAGAATATCCCAGAGGGCATGATGCCATGTGGATTAGATCTACCCCTCTCTCTCACAGCTGCCTTTAATAATAATTGCCATCCACTGGTGATGCCAGATCCCTTCCACTCCAAACATGTGGGCCTGAAAAAGCCAAAGGCAACAAGGATGACAGGCTAAAGACACATCTAGCTTACATATGGTCTGGTTCTCAACTACTGTACTGTTTGGAAATTCAATCTCCCATAGTAAAGTCTTCAGACCAGGAGCAACAAGCATGAAAAATAAATAAAAATAAATTGCGGGAAAGAAGACAAGGACACTGGAAGATTTGGATGCAGTGAGAGCAATTTCTTTTAAAGAATTATCTTTAGCCTCTTTTCTGTGTGGCATTTCAACCAGGATAAAGACATTTATCACAATTATACTGGAGAAGCTATCCAAAAAAACCTATTTAAATGAAAGAATGAAATGAAAACTCGAATTCTGTGTGTTTTTTAAAAAAATAAAACATTTTATACTGAACCAAACGGATATCTAGCTACAGATTTTTCTATGTGTAATTTCATGTTACAAATTATAATCTAGCTAACAATATAATAAAGCTCTTTTATTCTTATATTTTGTGTTCTTGCCCTGTTCTTCAGGCACAATTTTGTATTTACTCCTGAATATGAATGCATTCTGAAGTATTTGGGGGGGGGCATGCATGTACAATCTGAAATATCTTCTGTATTGTAAACATGCCCAAACAAGCCATCCAGAAGCATTTTAAATATTTGATCAGCCTAGACACCAGCAGCAAACAAGCTAGTCTTAAAACATAAGAGTGGAAAGGGAAAGAATGATTGCTATCCCTTGTGTTTTCTAAGACTTGAATTTTTAACAGACCGAGAACTTGAGATCCAGTTTTGCACAAATACCGGTAGCTTGCCAAAATATTTCCAGATTAATTTGTGATACTGAAATAAATTGCACATTTAAAACACCCCTATGTCCCTGTGTCTTTTAAGACTTGAGATTTAAAGGGCATGCATAGAATAAATAGTGTCAGAAGAAGATATATTTGCAAATGTTATATTCTGAAGAACAGTAAGCTTTGTCTTTTCACTTTTCAAAAGTAAAAGGACACATTGAACCAGAGTCCCCAAATGAAAATTAAGACCAGGTGCAGTGCTTGTTTGGAAAATGTTCCAAGATAAAGGGCAGTCCTTTTCCGGCAGGGTTAAGAAATACCACTTTCTATTGTCCAGATGTAACTGACTAATGTGGTTAGCAACAAAGCCACTCCATTAGCCATTAATCATGCACTGACCTCCTTCAATAACACATTTAAGGATTTTGCCTTTTTGTTTAGCCCCATTATCTATGCAGGTCATAACGTATGTCTTGGGAATATGTTATAATATATCAGAAGAACTTCCTAAATTAAGATTTATTCTACAACATCAGTTTGAACATTTAAGGGGGGGAAAAAGTTCTGCCTGCAGCTATTTTTATGAGAAAAAATAACCGACAGCAAGGCAAATTGTATTAATTCCACGCTCCCCACCCCAGAGAGAAACACAAATGACAGAGATCTCCCTCTGAGTCAAAAACCGCCCATCTTCTCTCTTTCCCAGAGTTTAAATCAAAGTGCCACAAAGGCTGGAGATAAACTGAGAGAAGGAAGAGGTGCAATCTATGCAGTGCAAATACTCACCTGCTGCTTCTAGGAAGAGACATTTGGGAGGGCAGACCCCAAAAAGGAGACCCCAGAGAGACTTGATCCCACCGGATAGCTAGTAATCAATGCGAGCTGGATCTGCTCCTCTTCAGACACAAAGGTGGACTGGATTCCTCCCCCCCTTGCACAGCTGGAGCAAAGGAGGGGCTGGACTGGGGCATTAGGGGATTACTGGGGAGGGAGAATGGAAAAGCAGACAGGGAAATGAGGAAAGGGAAATCCGAGAACAAGGGAGGAAGAGAATTTGTGACGGGGGAAGGAGAGAAAGAAAGAATGAAGAGGAAGAGAGGAGGCAAGAAAGGGAGAGGTGCAGGGTATTCAGGGGAGGTGGGCCATCTGATTCAATGAACCGAAATTACCCTTGTGCAATGGAAATTATCCTTGTGCCATTCAAAGTATCCTTGTGCTATGGAAATTTATCTTGTGCAATGAAAATTACCTGGTGCAATCAAATTTTTGCATCGTCTTCTTCAGTGAAAAAGGAGGCATAAAAAGGCTCAGATTGCAGCCCTAAAGGAGCCCCAAGTTCCAGGATTTGGGAGATTAGGAAAAAAACAACTTCCAAATTATTGGAGCAAGTCGGGCCATGGGGCCAAATTACACACACACACACAGACGCACAGACACACACACACAGAGAGGTGGAGGAGGCCTTCCAAGAAAAAACTGGACACCCCCTTGTCAGAGACCACGATTTTGGGGTCCTGCCCTGGGGGGGGGAA